ATTTTTGCTGTGTTGTTTTCTTTACGTATCGTGCCTACATAATTCACTCACTATGATGACACAGCTGAGTGGAATCTGCTGCAAAGTGCTGATTAAACCTGCGTGCATACTGCTGGCATACTGCTATCATTTGGCTATCGGGGATACTTCACCAAGATTTTCACTATTTCGCAAGTGTTGTAAATACAATAAAATATTCCAAAGTAAAATAAATACACCGTCGTGATATGGATAACATACATTCTGAAACAAACGTATGAAATATGAAACTATAATCGAAACAAATGTCTAGACTGTTGCACATTTAAAGACAAAGCACGTAGTATGAACAAAAAACATAATGTGAACAGCGTTAACTTTTTCTTTTTTTGTCATACGATTATTCATTTAAAACCAGAGAATGTTTAGTTTTTTCTTAAGAAGACGTGACTGAAACGACAAATTTTATAGTTCTCGACGAATGGAATTTAAAAAAAGTAAGTGTAATACAAAAAGTACTCACACTTTTTGATGACGACGGGCTTTTGGCAAAGTAGATAGATCTTCTTTCATACAGTATTGCCGTATTCCAAGAATTATATCCTTGCAGTATTTGTCTTCATCATGATGATGAATTGCACTGGGAAATATTTTCTGATCTGCTGGTGATAGTTTGTTGGCCATAGCAATCCTTTTATCGTTACAAAATTTCCAATTCCTCGTGGTAAAGTATTGCAATACTTCCAGACCGACTGAAATTCGCTTTTGAATTCTGACCATACTATTCGCGAGAAAATACAAAAAGAAATCAAACATAAAAATATCATAAGCTTAACACATATCATATTTTACAAGAGGATTTCAATAATTTTGCTAATGATAGTTTACAGTACAATTTTAATAATTTTCAGCGCTTAGAACAGATTCTTTCTACAAATTATTAAAAATTTTTTTCTTCGAGTTAGCACTCAACTGGTAAAAAAAGACAAAAGATATATGTTTCTCATTCTCTTAGAATAGAAATAGACTACACACTACGAGTTGCGCAGTTTCTCAAAAACATGATACTCAAGAAATTTATCAATAATGAGAAGAATTATTGGCTCGTTCATAAATAAGAAATCAAAATTGTAATACTCAATATTAGTAGAGTTACTATATGTTACTGTATGTAAGTTTATGTAATAGATATACAAACATTTTAATGAAATATATAAAAAGATACTTCAAAAACTTACAATCTCTTCTGTCGAAATATCAACATGAGAAAATCGATTAAATACGCAGGAATGATGTGAAAGAAAAAAACAAATAAGTTGTGCACATATTTGTTGGTACGTATATCACCATCCGGATACCAAGCCTGTCCTTCGAAAGGATAATCATAAAAGATGTTCCTGCCTTTCTCTAACATTTCACCCCATGTAATGGGCCTTACATTTCCGTGTGTTATGTTGTACACAGGTATACTTTTTGATCTGTTCACAGCAATAATTATAATTTATTTGTTGTTTAGATGCAATAAAAAAAAAAGCATTTAATGAAACAAAATAGAAGTATGTACTTTATTTTGCTGGTACCAATCATATATGATAAGACAATTAAATCATTAATTGCAATGTCGACTGGAATAATTTCGGCACAGTAAGTTGGTATGCAATGTATCGATCTAATAACACCTTTGCCTGCGCCGACAATTATGCCTCCAATTCCATTTAAAGTGTCAACCCATCCTGGGACTGGCTCCAATAAAATAGGAAATACTACGCAACACAACCATTTTTTAATTTGATTGCTCATCAGGTTTTTGCAAAATATTAGTTCTTATAGCCAATATTAAACATTGCGATAATTACCGATGGAAGGTCTAGCAATAATACACGGAAGATTAGGGTATTCATTGGTCACCAATGTTTCCGTAAGATGTTTTGAATACGTGTAACAATTTGGATGCGAACCTAATAATCTGTAAATATAAATGTATATAAAAAATAGATATTTTTTTTAATATATAATAATAAAATATTAATATATACAATAAGAAATTATTATAATTTATACATATCATTCTTAATGTTATACAAATTTAATTACTTAGGTGTAATAAGATCGATAGCTTCTTCGTCCAGCCATTCAACGAGTCTCATGATATCATGAGGATCATGAGGAGAATCGTAAATATGTTCGCCAAGTTCGTCTTGATCGACATGACAATAAGCCGTACTTAAATGTACGAAAACTTGCAAGTGTTTCATTTGTTTTGCCAACTTTAGTACTCTGTGTGTACCCATCTTTTAAAATTAAATTAAACATGTCGTATATACTCAGATTGTTACAAAAAATATGAAAACTGTGCAGTTTAAAGTTGTATATTAATTATATCACTTTTTTATTTGTATATTAAGTTTTTGGACACACACTTTAAATTATTTTAGTTTTTGTTATAGAAATATTAAAACTACAGAAAATATATAATAGCCAAAACTTAGAAGTAATAATACTATAATTATAATACTCTACCGTGTTCATTTTGATAGAGTCTTTCATTTTCGCCTCCAATCTAAGACTCGCGGCTAAATGAAATACTACGTTTACTTCCTGTATCAAACACTCGCGCTGTACGGTAGTAAGACCTAAATTATCTGATAATATATCGCCATTTAGTGGTATTACTTTCTTAAAAATTTGTGCTTTCTGTTCCTGTAGTCTTTGAAATAACTGTAAATATATCAGTTAAATAAAAAACCGTGCATTTAATAAGTATATATATATATATATAATTTTGACGTTCTTAAAAAATGTGTGTATTAAAAAACAGGATTAATTTAAAAATAGCAAAAAGGCCGTTTTTGAATATTTGATACGTATAATTGCAAGACATTTATACCTTTTTGGTTTTAATTTATTGTTTCGCAATATTTGTAGTTTAAATATATCTACTTCATACATAAAAACAATTTCTTACTGGCGTGTTGAACATATCCTTAAATCGATTTTCCCAACTGCGGCCTTTCTTGTCTCGCATGAGGATATAGATTTTACTGAGATCAGAGCAGCTGTACAGTAATTTTTCCATGAGAACTTTGCCCATAAAACCGGAAGCGCCGGTAATAAAAATGACTTTATCCTTGTAGAAGGACTGAACTTCAGATCTCGGTTCGTCCATAATCTTGAATTGTTACAAAAGTTTTTTGTGTATGTTATGTATATATTGTAATTTGTTTTTTCGACGATTTAGAGACTATTATATATTGACTAAAACCAGAGATTAGAACTAAACGCTATTTCGCGTAAAAAAAAGTAACCAAAAATTAAAAAAATAACTAAAACACTATATTTCTGCATTTTTTTTCCAAATGCTAACAAAGTTTAAAAACATTGTAGTTTTTGACCAATTTAATGTTTTAATTTTGTGTTTTTAAATTTTATTTTTTTTCTTATAAATTATGTTTGTAAAATATATAATGTCATGAAAATTATAAAACGGTATATTTAAAAAATATTGTTTACTTACAATTTTTCTATTAGAAATCACTTATTTCTGCAAATAACTTAAATAAAATAACAAACAATAAGATTACCAGAAGAATTGTGTTGTAATTGTATTCATACGTTTATTGTCGAGTCCGGCAGATACTAGCAAACTGAGTGAAGTGTCTCTTCTACTGGTGTATTTATATGGTTTGTTTATACGTCGCATGTACTTGTTCAATAATTACATGGTCATTCGTGGAAGAAATTATAAATTTGAATTTAGAATCTTGATTTAGTTTTTTATTGTACATTTACATCGTACGATATACGTAAGAAAACCATTTACATAATAGGTATAATCTCATGCATATATAATCATATCAAAACATGATGACTTTGCAATTATAACAATGTATTATTCTTGCACTTTCAAAATATTGTTTGATATATTATAAAATAAAATTGGATACATGGTATTAAAAACAACTTGAAACTTTATTGAAATGAGTAAGTAAATTAGGTGTGGAGTTTTATGCGTTACAACCTCGAGCTTTTTATAGAGTAGAAAGAATTTTCTCATGATTGAGCAGCATTGATATCATCGTAGATGGAAGAATTACGCATACAAGCACAGATCCGTCTGTGTTGCGACGTCACGCTCGGCTGTGACGCTAGTATGTAATTATAAGTACAAAAACATTATTTCTATTTTTTCTTTCTACCAAGCCAAAGTCCAAGCGAGATTGCGCTTATGTTGTTTGTAAATACTTAAAATGTATGTGAGTTAATTTCCCTAAAAATAAAGTGTTAATATATTATAAAGAACGTTTAATACGTATATTTTTGTATAGTTCAAGTATATATGTTTATTTTAAGTTTTAAGTATTATAGAAAAATATAAATATCTACTGGATAACTACTGGATGTTTGGAGAATATCTATCTTGTCTGTTATTTATATTGAATATTGATTTTTTGCAGGACATCTTATGTTACATATGTTCTCTGGAAATTGGTAACATAGTTACAAAAGATACTATTATTTTTTTCATAACTAAACTTTTCTTATATACATTCAAAATACATCTAAAAGACCATAGAATGTCCTCTGAATCTTCTCTGAATGTTTTTTTAAAATGCCCGCACGGCATTTTATATTTTAAATACATAGCAGATACATAAAATATGAAATGTTACTATACAGCAAACATAAAATAATATACCGTAGAAATCATATACCTGATATATGTTTAAAAGAGTACTGGACACTGACTATAGAGATCTGTAAATCGACGTTTTAGAAACCTAAATTTCTCTAATTTCTAATTTTGTGTACTGCATTACATGAACAATGCTTCTACAGAAGCAAATAAATATTAAAAACTACACAATGCTTTTGAAAATGAGTACCTAGTCAACACAAACATCACAAAGATAACTAAAAGAAGTCTTTTTTAAGACTTCTTTCAGAACTTTAAATATGATCTCTTGATGATATTCGATATAAGAACTCTACGATGGAAGCTCTTAAAGATGTCTTAAATAAGAAGTCAATTTTTTGATATTTGAAAGAATCCTCTTTCTGTTTTCTTACAGGCTTCTTAATTAAGACCGCTTAAGAGGATGCTGAACCGTCCTGTTTTACTCTCATGTCGTATTTCAAAAGTTTTGTAAACACTACTTAGTAAACAATTTGTTCGCAATTTGCCAGCAATCTGGCAGCAATGTTTAGGAAAAATATTCAGCAAATTAACATCAACTGTGTCTGCATTAGGCTTCGATTGTTGCCAAAGGTTGTCGACAAATAGTAACAGCAAATTGCTATCAAAACCCGAGCAAAGCTTGATAACATAACTTGAGATCAAATTGACGCCAAATGTGAAGCAAGATTTGCGCAACACGATTTGATGGCAAAATGACATTTATAATATAATAAAATAATATAATATAATAAAAAATGATTTAGATTCTTCATTTATGTTCTCGAATAAGTTTTCTTGGTTATTCTCTATGTCTTATAGCGATTTCGGCTGGTCTGCACCGGTGTGCCACCTGTGTAGAGTTGGTGCAATTGTGTGCAACACCGCATCGGTGTGTGTACTGATTACACTAACTGGCTCCGACTAATTTGTGAGAGCCACTTTGTGTACACCCAACATGCACCTATGCGGTGTACTGAGCTCAGACGAATACGCGGAACCAGCAAAGAACTGCTGCCATTCGACCAGCCGAACTCACAATTTGCACCGACACCCGAAATGTGCAGTCGGTGCAAACCAGCCGAAATCGCTATTAGTATTACCTTGTAGAAAATAATCCATTGTGTTAGAAATTATCTCGACTGGATTCGAACTTGGAAGTTGGAACCCTCTGATTACCAAGCGGGCACTCTATCAACTTAGCCATTGAAACTTTTGCAATCAATTATTTTAAAACTAATATGTTAATGGCATTCAGTGATATTGTTATTAATTCTAAATAAAACTATTTGTTCCTAAGTAAATCAGCGAATTTTTAACTGTTTCCTAGGAAAATTAATTTGTTACTGACACGTAACTTTAAGAGAGTCATTTTTTCACTGCAAATCAGTGATATTATCACTGAATCAATTAGTGAAATTTTAATTGATTCTATTAGGAGAATGAAGTTTGGCCATAATACTTAATCGCTTTTCATATCTGTTTAGGAAAATTCAATTATGTATTTATAAACGATAAATATTGCGTACATGCATAATCTAAGTCATATATTTGATGATATAAAAATATTTTAAAATTATTTAAAATTAAATATTAAACAGACAATGAATTGTTGTAAAAAGTATAAATATTAAATAATTTCACATAGATGTTATTTTAATATTTATATAATTATTGTCAATGTAATATTCAAATGTAAACATAATTTTATATATATTATGTGTATAAAAATTATATATATATATACATATATTATATATATATATATATATATATATATATATGTACAGAATTTGTAGAAATAAATTTAAGATATATGTCAATACTTCTTTACAAATTTATACATACATATAAAATGCGCGTACATGTAGCATCACTCGTATAAGTTTTCTAATAGTTAGTTGGTTAAAAAAATATTTTATTATGTCATCTTAATATTTAATTATTGGAAAAAAATAAGTTAAATATTCAAATGAAAAAGTAATTTTATATATATTATGAATTATAGATAGTGTGTATATACAATTTAGAAATAAGTCAAGATATAAGGTTGGATATATTTTTGCTAGCACTTTTGCAACATTGCCAGATACAACAAACTCTGCATCATATTTGATGTCTTTCTGCAACCAAAATTTGTAACAAGCATTTGGCAAAATCTGTTTCGACAGATTTGGTTATCTGGGTATCACTTGGGATGAAAAATGCTTCTCCAGACAAAAGAGAATGTAGTAAAAAATAGGATAACCTTTACGAAAAAGAATTACTGGCACTAATATATTGCGGCAGTGGTACGAAAGAATTACTGGCATTCTGTGTAATTGCCAGTAATATTCTCAGTGATTCCTGTAATACCTAATAATATTCTTGTGTGATTGTTAGTAATATTTATATTACTGACTTTTTTTTATTTATATGTAATCGGCAGTAGTTCTTTCTTGTAAAGGAAGATACTAAGCCCGGAAAACATCCTAAGGTGATGGCGGGATTTGAGTGACTCGAGACCTCTATATTCGCAGCCCCTGCACTTAGGCCGCGAGACTACTTGTTTCTTACTAAATTGATTCTTACTAATTATTTTTTTTTACTTATTCTTTATGCTACCTTTACAAAAAAGAACTACTGCCAATTACATATAAATAAAGTCAGTAATATAAATATTACTGACAGTCACACAAGAATATTAGCAGAGAGAAGCCTAAGAGCGGCCATGCCATTGTAGTTTTTTACGACAGTTTCAACTGCTGGTTTTAGCCGTATTTCCACAAAAGTGGAACTCAACCCTTACGAAAAAGAACTATTGCCGATTACATATAAATATTACTGGCAATTACACAAGAATATTATTAGGTATTACAGAAAAAATTATTGGATATCACAGAAAATATTATTGGATATCACAGGAAGTATTACAGGTTATCACTGAG